ACACACACACACACACACACACACACACACACACACACACACACACACACACACACACACGGTGTATTCTGAACTTCACAGGTGATGAGAGGCTCAAAATGCCACCAGTATAGGTTGTTTTGACTGTGTATGAAACCAGCTTATAAAGAAATATGAGAGAAAATTTTTTTTTCTCTAACAACCTCTTAGAATTCCTAGCTTCTTCAAATCTCAGCTCAAAAACTGCCTCTTACATGTGGTCTTGCATAATAAGTTACCTTATACTCCCCCCCTCAAACATCCCCCCACGTTTGTGTGTGTGTGTATATATATATGCGTGTATATATACACACATATACACATGTAATACACATATAATATCTTGTGTTAAAAATATGTGTATATTAGGTGTTTATATGCACCTTAGTGCACATATATGTACACATATATTTGAAGGCAAGGCAACATGTTTGCATATGCATGTATATGTATACACATAGGTACATACGCACACACGTGGACACATGCGTACACGTGTATATGAACATACGCACACATGTGTATAGATACAAATACAAAGTGATGACATTTCAGACCCTTATTACCTCATATAATGCATTCACATAATCGGTTATTTAAAAAGAAGTTATTAAGCCAGGCACTGGATTAGTCCCTAGTGATACAAAGAGAAAAATAAAACTTTACCTTCCCTCAAGGATTTTATACAAGGAAACATGTTTAGGTAAGCTTAGAAAATCTATATCTGTACCTCTGTCTATATCTAGATATAGGTATTTATAAGTATTTAGATATTTCGATATCAGTATCTAGATATAGATAGATATAGGTATGGGTATAGATAGATATAAGTATAGGTATTGATAGATATATCTATGCATACATAAATGTATGTATGTATGTATATGTATATATATACACACACACAGAGAGAGTGAGAGAGATATGTATCTATATCTAGGTAGATATAGATATATAGGTATAGATATATATATATTTGTAGATATATCAATCTAGATAGATACAGATGTAGATATAGATATATTTTCTCTTTGCTTACCTATACATGTTTCCTCATATAAGATCCTTGAGAGCAAGTAGGGCTAAAATGGTGTGGTGGCTGTGTGAGTAGAGAAAAGGGGATGTATACAAGAGTTGTTGTGGGTACTTGGGTACTGAGAGGATGGTGGTGTCCTCAACAACAGCAAAAAGTTGGGAAATAGGGAGTTTGGGGGAAAGATAATGAGCTCTATTTTGAATACATTGAGTTTGAAATGCTTATTTTGAACACATTGAATTTGAAGTGCTTATTGGAATCCAGTTTGAGATGTCCAAAAAGCATTCAGTGGTATAGGGCTAGAGATTATTGGAGAGATTAGGGCTGGATATGTATATCTAATAATTGAACCAAAGGGAGGTAATGAGATCACCAAGAGGAAGAAAATAAGAGAACCCAGATCAGAGCTTTGAGGAACGTCCAAGGTTAGTGAGCATGACCTGGATGAATGAGCATTCAGGGAAGGGAAGAGAACAAACATTTATTAAGTGCATACCAGGCACTGTGCTAAGCATTTTACAAATATTATTTCATTTGATCCTCACAACAGTCCTAGGAGGTAGGTACTATTATTATCCTCATTTTACATTTGAAGAAACTGAGGCAGACAGAGATTTAGTGATTTCCCCAGGTTTCCACGCTATTAAATGTCTGAGATCATATTTGAACTTAGTTTTTTTCTGACTCCAGGGGTGGTGCTTTATCTACCACATATCAAATGCAGCGAATAGGCCAGAAAGGATAAGGCTGCAGGTTCCCCACCCCTGGTAAGGACTGAGAAAAGACCATCAGATTTCACTCTTAAGAAATCACTGGAGGGACAGCTAGATGGTGCAGTGGATAGAGCACTGGCCCAGGAGTCAGGAGGACCTAAGTTCAAATCTAGCCTCAGACACTCGACACTTAATAGGTGCTGTGACTCCGGGCCAGTCACTTAACCCCAATTGTCACTTAACTCACCAAAAAAAAAATCATTAGTAACTGGAGAGAGCTGTTTTAGTGATTAGATTAGAAGCTAGAGTTCAGAGGATTGAGAATTGAATAAGAGGAGAGAAAGTAGAGGCACTTCTCAAGGAAGTTTGACTGAATAAAGGGAGGAGAGATATAGGATAATAATAGCTTGGTAGGGTGTATAAAAGGTGGTTTGTTTTTTTGGGGGGGGTTTTTGTTTTTTTAAGATGAGGGAGACGAGCTGCTTTCAAGGCATTAGGGGAGGAAATAGTAGATAGGCAGAAGTTGAATATTCAAGGGAGTTGGGGAATTATTGAATTTGAAGGAGGAATTGGGATCAAGTGCACAAATGGGGATAATTGGTCTTGGTAAAGAGAAAGGCCACCTTTTTGTCAGAGATCTGTGAAAAAGAAGGAGAGAATGGGATATGATATCAAAAAGTTTTGAAATAAAAAGAATGGGGGAAGAGGGAGCTAATATTGAGTGGTTTCAATTTTTAAAATAAACTAAGGGGCAAGGTCCTCAGGCAGCATTGGATGTATTGGGATAGGGGCTTGGGAGGGAAGAGATTTGGAATACCATCTGTGAGGAATGAGATAGGGAATCAATTAGGTAGAAATAAAAATTTTGCTGTAGTGAGGGCCCAGGTTGAATTTGGGTAACATCAGTTTGTAATGTACCCATTTACCCTGGTTATGAGACTTCCTTCAGCTGCATTTAGCACCTAGTGAGTAGGAACTGATCAAGAACCAGTAGGAATGAGGAGGTAGATGGTAGGAATAATCTAGGCTTTGAGATTTGACAAGGGATAAGTGATAAGATGAGATGGAGTAAAGTATTCACGAGTGGAAGACTGTAGAGTTGAAATGGTTAATTATTTGGTTGAGGGTAGAGAGACTGAAAAATGAAGACTAAGTAAGAGTAATGTAGTTCTGGGCTGAGGATAGGGGGTGGAGAGAGGGTCTGGGTTAGTCTAAATAGTCTATTTAGTGAGGATGAGCCATTGAGAGAAGTGGAATGTTAAAAGATTGTGATCAGATAGGAGAAAGTCAAGAATTTCTAATTAGGGAAGTAGAACCCTTATGGATTATGATGAGATCTAATTTGAGGCTATCCTTATGGGTGACTGAGGTGGAGTAAATTAATAGGTCATGAGATTTAAGGGAACTGATGTATAGGGAAGTGTCATAGACCATCACTGTGGATATTAAAATCCTCTACTGTAAGAGCAGGGGTTGGTGAGAAGAGGAAGATGGTCAGCTTATTGGGATAGTGATCTGGGGTTTGGCAAACCACAGCCCAATTTGGATTGGGTGGAAATGTTTTGATTGAGAAGGCTGATGAGTGGTAGAGGAAAAGGAATGGTTTGGAAGTGACAGTGCGGAGCAAGAAATATTCTGACACTCCCTCCAGGACCAATGTGCTGGGGAGCAGGAGATGAGAGAAGATACATCTGGTGCTGGCAATGATAGCAGGAGAAATGTGATTTCGTTTGAAGGGAACTGGATCTCAATGAGGGCTACTTGATGGAATGAGTCTAAGTCCAGCATGAAGTGGAATTTGTTTACTATTGAAAGGATGGACAGGGTTGGAGTGAGAAAAGGGCAGGATAAGGTTGAGGAGGATGGAGATGAGAGATGGCAGAGGGTTGGGATAGTTTTCGTCTAAGTGACTGGTAATTAATTACTGAAGGGATAGGGAAAGAAATGTGAGTAGCCATAGGGTTGATAGGGGATGGCAGATGAACAATGAAGCTCATAGGCTCTGAGGGGCATTGCAGGGGGCCCTGAGCCAAGCCTGTGTCTGGGTGTGGACTGGCCTGCCAGCTGTTCTTGCTGCTTGTCCTTCTACTGTACGATATGGGAGGAGGGCAGAGAAATTTGGGGCGAGTAATGGTTCACCTCCTTCTAATTTCAAAATTCTAAATATTCTTTGAGGAAATGTAGTAAACAAGAAAAGAGAATAATCATGTCATAGATTTCATATCTATGGGTTGGGGTGAGGGAGAATATGTGCATAATTATTTTGAAGAAAACCTAAATGAATGAATTTTGAAGGATGAATAGAATTTTGGGTGATCTCAAGACAGGACATGACAACTGGTGAACAGCTAGAGCCAAAGCTTAAGGGAACAGTTTAATGAATAAATTAAAGATTTTTTTAAAATTTCCCCTTAGTCCTCTTGGTTCTTTCTCTTACTCTTTAACCAAAGGCTATATACCAGTGATCATTCTCTCAACTTACTTTAAGTTGGCACTGAACTTAGATGAAAGCTGACCCATGGAATTAAAGTTTTTCCTCCCACAGTTTTAAGAAGTTAATAATTGATAATACTATCTGTAATATAAATGATGAATTCCTGTGATGAATTACTGATAAATTAGTACTTACTGTGTATATATACACATAAATATATATGTAATCACATTACTTATATTTTAAAGGATAATACTTCAAACCTGACATATAAATATTTCATGATTTAAAGGTATGTCTAGATATATTTTCATCTAAAATTCATAATATTTCATTGTCTCTTATGAAATTATTTAAAGTTCCCATTACAGAGAATATAGTTGATCTTTACTTTGATGTTTCTATTCCAAATCAAGGGACTTAACAATCAACAAGCATTTTATTAAGTGTTTATTAATTGCCGGGCCCTGTGCTAAGCTCTGGAGAATCCAAAGAAAAAGGAAAAGCAAAAAAGATTCCCTGCTCTTAAGACACTTAAATTCTAATATTGGAGACATTTATATTGGTACCTATATGATACATCCTTAAGTATATGAAAAGTAGCCTTACAGGAGAAGTCACTAAAGACTTTGAATGACCAGAAAGATCTCATGCTGAATTGGAGGTAGTACTTGAACTGAGTCTTAAAAAGAGGACAGGGATTCTAAGAGACGAAAGTTAGAAGGGAAAGCCTTCCAGCCCTGTTGGGCAGTCTGTGCAAAGGCATAAATATGGGAGGTGTATCCAGCTTTCTGAGGAACAATGGGCAATATGGATTGATTGCACAGTCTGTGGAGAGAGTAATAGGAAAGGGACACCTTGTGAACAGCTGTACAAGCTAGAGAATTTATATTTGATCCTCAAGACAATAGGGAGCTGTTGAAGTCTATTGAGTAGGAAGATGACATGGTCAGACCTGCAGTTTAGAAAGATCACTGGCATCCATGTGAAGGATAGACTGGAGTAGAGAGATGATTGAGGCAGGGGCTCCAGCTGGAAGACTATTGCAGTTCAGAGGAAAGGTCATAGGACCTGAACTAATATGGTGGCTATGAGTGGAGCAAAGGGAATACATGTGAGAGATGTTTCAAAGAAAGAAATAAGATTGTCAACTTTTTGGAATAGTGGGGGGTGAGCAAGATAAAGGAGTTGAGGATGACATTGAGACTGTGAGCCTGAGTGACTAGAAGGGTGGTGGTGATCTTTAAGTTGTAGGGAAGTTGGGGAGAGGGTTTGAGAACAAGATCATGATGTGGAATAGTGTTTTAGACATGTTGAGTTTAAGATTTCCAGTCTGAAATTTCTAACATAGACAACTGGTAACGTGGGGTTAGAGCTCAGGAAAAAGTCTAGAGCTAGACAAATAAATCTGGGAATCATCATCCTAAAGATAATAGAATCCATGGGAACCGGTGAGATCACTCCCTGAGATAGTATACAGGGAACAGAGAAGAGGGCTTAAGAGATTTGGGGGAGATCTATGCTTAGTGGGCCAATTTGGATGGTTTGAAACAGTCACTGTGGGATGTGGCAGTAGCGCATCAATTAGGGAGGATCAGAATGATTGCTTTGCCATAGTGATGGCCCCGTTGAGATTAGATTACATGAATTTGTAGCAGACAGTCACCACAGTTCATGGTATCTTTTAGTTCCTTTTTACTTCGGCACATAAATGGGAGAGAAAACATCAGATGGTGGGAGTAATCCAGGGTTTGAGTTTGATAAGGAGTGGTCAGTGATAATGTGGCAAGGGATACCAGATTAGGGGATAGTATAGAATTGAATTAGTTCTCCAAGGAGTTATATTTACTTATCTGTGAATATGTTGTATCCCTCTGGTAGAATGGCAACTCACTGAACACAAGGACTCTCCTTTTTGTATTTTTATCAACAGGGTTTGGTATTCTGCCTAGCAAATAGTACGTACTTAATAAATACTGTATTTGTTATTATTCCTCTACTCTCCTCTTGACTGCTTCCTATGTCCTGTCACTGTCATGAGTCTAGTGGCAGGAGCACACTCACTACTTTTCCCTTGGCTTCAGATAAAAGTAGGGCAAGAAACATTTGTTTTAAGAGATTAAAGCAGCTTTGAGGGGAAAGAGTATATGTTATATATATTTGCTTACATATAATATGTAATTACATTTGTATATAATAAATGATGGATAAATATATTAATGAATTAAAACTGTATATTAATATATTAATATATATTATATTAAGAAGAATTATATATTCAATATATTATTATATTAAGAAGAATTAAATATATTAAGAAGAATTAAATTACTATGATAGAGAAACTTAAAATTATAGTATAAAATTTAGTAATTTGATAATACTATTCTAGAAAATTTTTTAGAGAGCATGTCTTTTTTTTTTTATATTCAAAGACTATGTCTTGCAAATAATCAGACTTCTGCAAACCCTTTACCTTTGTACAGGAGAAGCAGATGGCAGAGAACAATCAAAGCTGGAGGTTAAAGTTTGGGACCCAAACAGCCCTCTTACTGATCGACAGATTGACCAATTTTTAGTTGTAGCCCGGTAAGCTCAATTAAAGAATAACTTCTCTTTGAAAGACTACTCAAAGTGTTCCATGTTTTTCAGTTAGCCAGAGAAGTTGAAATTTTAGAATTTTCTTTCTTCTGTCTGTCTCTGTCTCCTTGACTCTGTCTTTCTCACTTTCTCTCCTCCCTCAGTAGAAAGAGGAGGAAAGGGTATTTCAGGTGAATAGAAAAGTGGTACCTGACAACTGAGACAAGTCAGTGCTGCTTAGTTCTTAGTTTGCTTCTGTTTTCTTTGCTAAAGAAAATGACATTTCTCCAGAAATAACAAAACAAAAAAGACTGACAGGCAGTTGATACCCAAGAATAAGTAAGGAGATAATGAAAGAACATCTGGCTACTCTTGGTGAATTCAAGTCACTTGGGTAAGGTGAATTACTTTCTGGGTCCTGGAAGATGTGCTGGCTGAGCCCCTGTGAGTGATATATGAAAGATCTTGGAAAGGGAGGAGGTGCCATAAGATTGGATAAAGGCAAATGTGGTGTTGATGTTTAAAAAGGGGAAGTGAACAGATCCTGCAAATTCTAGGGCAGTAAACTAGGCTTCACTTACTGGGATGAATCATTAAAAGAAGTGGTTGACGAACATCTAATAAGGGAAGCAATGATTACAAAGGACCAGTGTTGCTTTATCAAGAGCAAATGATGCTAGACTAACCTTATTTCCTTTTTTGAAAGGGCTACTAAACTAGTAAACAAAAAGAATGCTATAAATATAGTTTAACCTAGATTTTTAGTAAAGCATTTATAATCAAGTGTCTCGTATTGTTATTATGGAGAAGATCGAGATATGTAGACCAGATTATGATATAATTAGATAGATTCAGAAATTTTACAAATGGCCAGACCCCAAAGAGTAATTGTGTTGGTATAGTGTCTACATGGGAAGGGGTCTTAGTGGATTGTCCCAGGTATACATACTTGTCATCACCCAAGTATTGTATGTGAGATGGGATTTGAACTCAGGTCCTCTTACTTCAGAGCTAGTACTCTTTATACTATGGCAAGAAGGTGTTCTATTTTTTAAAGGATATCTTTATCCTTTATCTTAACTTCCCTATGTGAATAAATAAACATATAAAGCACTGTGCTAAGTGCTAGGGACCAAATAGAGGGATAATTTTTGCTCTCAAACAACTTCCATATTCTCTTTCTAAACCTTCCTTTGTTTTCTTAGCATGACAGATAATACAGTAGACAGTTAATGCTTCTCAATTAAGTGATTTTATTTGCTAAAAACTTAATGCTAAGGAAGTTGGGCATAAATAGGAAATGTCAGTTTGTCCTTCAATTATAAAGACTGTATATCTCTCCAGTCATGCTAAGAAAACAAGGGAGGGTTGAAGAAGGGCATATGGGAGCTGCTTGAGAGCCCTAGGAATTGAGGCAGCGAGGTGGTGTAGTAGATACCCTATTAGACCTAATGTCAGGAAGCCCTGACCTTCTAATTTAGCCATGGACATTTACTAATTATGGAACCCTGGGCAAGTCACTTAACCTTTGTTTGCCTCAGTTTTCCCATATATAAATGGAACAATAATAGCACCTACCTTACAGGGTTGCTGTGAGGATCAAATGAGATAATATTTGTCAAGTGCTTTGCAAATCTTAGAGTATTGTATAAATGCTAAAATGATGAGTTGTGAGCTCAAGGAAGGCTTTGTGTAGAATGTGGTACTTGACCTGAGTCTTAAAGGAAGTGAAACTTCTGTCAGACTGAGGTAAGGAGGTAGATTATTCTAGGCATGGGATATGGTCATATAAAGGTGGGAAGACAGGTGATGGAATATAGTGTCTGAGGAACATTAGCAAGACTAGTTTAGCTAACCACATAGTACATGAAGAGCAGTAATGTATCATGAGGTTGAAAAATGGGGTGGGGCCAGGTTGTAAAGGGCTTTAAAAGCCAAACAGGAATTCATGTTTAATTTTTGGAGTAGGAGGGAAAGACTCAAGTTTATAGAGTAGGGGTATGACATAGCCAGACTTTTACTTGAGGAAAATCCTATTTCCAGCTGTGTGGAGGATGTATAGGAGTGGGGAGAGAACTGATGAAGGGAGATCAGATAGGCCATTAAAATAGTCTTGGCAAAAGGTGATGAGAGACAGAACTAAGGTGTGTAGGCTGTAAATAGTGAGAAGACGAAGGATGTGAGATACAGCTCTGCAGGTAGAAACAGCATAATATGTCAACTGTTGGGGAAAATTTTTTTTCAAAAAAAGGTTCAGTTTGTGAAGCCTATTTAATAAATTCTGTTTATTATTATTATTATTATTATTATTACATATTATATATTAATACAACTCCTGCAGTTGTATTCTCAGTGCATTTGGATTGAATTATACAATTTAGCCCTATCTTATGTTCTCTCATTGTTTGATTTATGTTTGTACTGGAGAAGCTCCCTCCCTCAACCCACCCCCAAAAAATGTTAAAAAAAAATTTGTTCCCCAAGGGTAGAAGTTTTCAGATTCTTTCCTTTCTTTTACCATGCCTAGCAATATTCTAGGTTATAAAATAAATATTCAGCAAATATTTAATTGAGCTAGTTTGACATGACTAAAAAAAATTTTGTACTTCACAGTGGCTCGGTATTAGGGGCAACATGAAATGCAAGACTGTTTCATATTAAACATTTATTAACGATATCCATCACCTTCAGACAGTGTGCATCACACTCTTGAGTAGATAAAATGCCTTTTACCTTTCTGTATCCTATGCTGGCTTATTTGAGCAGAAGCTAGCAAGAACTGAAAATTCTCACTACGATTTTGATGACCATGAAGAAATTGCTGTCTTAGACTCTCAAGAGTCTTATCTTCAGGAAGTTCCAGGCTCACATGAAGGTGACTAACAGAATGCCTTTCTGAGAACAGGCTGCCTTTCATTTTCAAATGGATATGCTGTGGTTTGTCAAAGTTAGCTTGTTACTTTGGGAAATCTCTTTGTCTGTGAGACCTTGCCAGACTCTGAGTTTTCAACCCTGATAAGATCACCTCTGCAAAAGTTACTTGGAAAGACCAGTACTCCAGTATTAAAAGGAAATACCAAGAACTGCTCAGAAGTCGTCTTTTGGAAAACACTACTGGTAGACGTAAATGACTGGGAAGGTTGAGAAGACGGCCTTAGGAAGCGGGTTTGAGCAACAATACAAAGGAAATCTCCACAAGTGACTTGGAACCTGGAGAGTCACTCGCAGTTGATTATCATTATCATACAATATTGCTGTTACTGTATGTTCATTTCACTTTGCATCAGTTCATATAAATCTTTTCAGGTTTTTTCTGAAATCTGCCTGCTCATCATTTCTTATAGTACAGTAATATTGCATCACAGTCATATACCACAACTTGTTCAGCCATTCCCCAATTGATGGGCATCCCCTCAGTTTCCAATTTGTTGCCACCATAAGAAAAGCTGCTATAAATATTTTTGTACAAATAGGTCCCTCCCCACCTCTTTTAAAATCACTTTGGGATATAGACCTTGGAGTGGTATTGCTGGATCAAAGGATATGCAGTTTTATACTAGAAAGTTTTCATATTGCGAATATTTCCAGAAAATGCATTTATAATTTTTAAAAATCTTATGTTAGGCTTCAGTGATTTTTCAAATAATGGGTTCACAGGTGATGGGGTAACACAAAAACATTCCAAGGCATTTGACCCTCTTTAAATGGTACCAATGATTCATTTGGGGGTGCTTGGACCCCCAAAATGCCAAGGCGTTGTTTCCTGGAACGAATTCACACACTCAGTCCGTCTTTCAGTCAAGTGGTAGTTTATTGTGACGTCAGTAGTAGCAGGCTAAATTCCTTTGGGGAACTTCCAACTTAATGGGGTGAATTTAAAGCTTATATAGAAAAGGGGCAGGGAAAAGAATGTTAAGAATGCTAATTAGGTAATGCAAGGGGTCCAGGTGTCTGGGAGCTATGGATGGGAAAGTGTAGAGAATATACCAGATACTGAGAAAGTTGTCAGAGGCATGGACTTTGGAGATCTGATGAGGGAGAGTCCTTGTACCAGCCAGGGACAAAAATACTTGGGCCAGGCACCCCTTTGTCTGTCCTGATAAGAGAATACGTTTTGCAACAAGAGACAATTTTCTTATACTAAGAAATTGGGAGACTTCCAGAGACATGATCTTAGGGCTGGGACCCAAGCACCCTCTCACCAATATCAACTAGCCTCTTACCAGCTTTTCTCAGGAATAATGCAAATTTTCTATCTCCAGCTTAGAATCTGACTTATATCAACTACCCCCACATATACACTCCCACCTTTATCTGGAAAGCATAAGACTCACAATTGGACTCTGTTCTTCAGCTGTTTTGGCTTTTACTGTTAGTTGATGTCTGTCTATGGGTACAATCCTACTGTAAGATCACCTTTATTTGTTTTCGTTGTAGTAACTTATGTGTGTTTTTTTTTCCGCCTTTGTCTTCACATGTCTCATTTTTGCTTTCAAAAATAATTATATCTTCTCTTGCTATCTCATATTGAAAGTTGTAACTTACCTTTGGAATTGACTTGTTGGTGTCCAAAAGCCAAGAGAAGGAGAGAAAATGGAAGTCTTGGCTTGGGCAACCATTGGGGCATTCTAAAATTCTTTATAGTCATGAGCATTCATAGGCTGAGGTCCATTATTGTTTTGTCCCTCTTCTTGGCCCACCTTCTGAGATGTGCAGGATTTAGCATTAACTTTGTGAATTCCTCAACCCCGGACCTAATTTGAACAAATGGACTTGGAATTCTCTCAGAGGGATCCAGTCCTTTAGAATTTAGTGCAACCCTACTTGTAATCCCCTTTCATGAAAGGGTCTTTGCTTCTGATATAGGAGCACCATGGAACTCTGTAAATAATTTTTTTGTATAAATTTGTTGTGCCTTAAAAAAGAAAAAATAATTCATTACAGATGATGCTTTTTTATGGGGCTGTATTGGAATTAAAATGAAAAAAAAATTTTTTAGCAACTTTGTC